AAGACTGGTTCCCTGGGGCCTTTGTGGGGTGGGAACTTTGTGGCTCCTATAAGTAAGAGGCACCTGCACAAAGCTTGTGTGCAGGTTCTCAGGACAGATGGGACCTGGAATGGGGATGGCTACAGGTTGGACCCTATCCATGAGAGCATAAAGGCCTGGGAGCCACCACCATGCTCAATTCAGCAGAGAAGAATAAACCAAACAAACAGTTTTAAAAGGATCCTTTTAAATCCTTATGACTCATAAGGAAGGAGCACAGGGATTTAAATTACTCTGAGGGAGTTTTTTCAAGCGACTTTGGTAAATCTGAACATATTGGTGGTCAATCATAACCAGAACTTCCTTAGATTAGCTTAAGAAAACTGGATAATTTTTAAAAATTGTAACTATTTTTGTTACACAATTATTCATGAATTATTCATTATAGAAAGAAAAAGAAAGGGAAAACAAAAGATAGAGGAAAGGGAGGCAAGGAGGACGAAAGGAATGAAGAAGGGAAATAAACCAATCTGGCGCACTATCAATTGCTTCTTTAGGTTTAAGCATTGCTTTCAAATTGGTATCCAGTTTCTCTGTTTTTCTTTTCTCTCTCTCTCTCTTTCTCTCTCACCTACATGCTCTTTTGTATCCTACTAGAAAGAAATGATCTTGTGTGGTAATTTGCATGCTGGCTTCATCATACACATACATCACACACACACACACACACACACACACACACACACACACACAAATCTTTACCGGGCACCTGGGTGGCTCAGGCAGTTAAGCCCCTGATTCTTGGTTCTGGCTTAGGTCAGGATCTCAGGATCCCAGGATCCACACTTAGGGAGCAGTCAGCTTGTGGCTTGTCCCTCTCCCTCCCCCGCTTTGCTCCCCCCACTCCCTAGTTCAGGGGCACATACACACTCTCTCTTTCAAATAAATAAATAAATAAATAAAATTTTTAAAAGACAAAAAATAAAAACCCCTTTACAATATCCCCTTTACAATATATATCTGAAAAACTTTCCACACCTTGATTTACCCCATCCATTTCAACTGTTAAATGGTAATAATAACTGGCAATGATTAAGGGCTTTACAGATTCTAGACACTGTTCTAAGTGCTTTACTATCAGCTTACTGAACTCTCACGATGGCCATTCTATGATCGAGAAAACTGAATCAGAGTATTCGAATAAGCTTCTCAAGGTCAAAATTGTCCCAAATTCCCAGCCAGTCTACCTCCAGAACCTGTGAGCTGAAACACCACATTATAATGTACTGGGTTCCATTACAGGAATGTAACATATAGTGAATGTAATCATTCACTACTGATAAACAGACTTTTATGATTTGATATTACAAACAGCTGTAATGAAGTTACTGGCAACTTAAATATTTAGTGGACTATGAGATATGATGGGCCAGTTTCCATAGATGATTAATTCTTTTCATAAAACCAAATGTAATGAATGTTCAGATTTACTTAGCTTTCAGAAAAATCATGACTTTTCCTCATAAACTACGGTAATTAAGTATATGACAAACTCCCTATAATTAAGGGATAAATTGCTGGCATAAAAATAAAGAACGCTGGCATGCTGTAATTACTCTGTAGCTTACAGTTTATCAAACATGTACTCTGAACATAGGAGGTTATATAAGTACATAACTTCTAAAAGAAACCCTTTGCCTTTTCCACACAAAACTGGCAAGCAGAAAATGATAGCTTGGCATAATACATAATAGTGTTCAAACTACTGCATGTCTGCAGACCAAACTTTAATACTGGACTCCTTCCTCTCCTCTGAGAGCCAGTTTCATGAACCTAATGTCACTCTCCAACTATCAATTACTAAGATCAAATACTGGGAAGAGTTTTGCATTCACTTGTTTCCCATTGTGAAGTATGATGAAAAGCAACATATTTACTCCAAATACTCCTTATCACATAAGAAAGAGAAAGCCATTGTGGGCTTCCCTTAAGTGATGGCCTTCCTCCCTTTCTGGCTGATGAGCCAAATACATGTCCTCTCAGCAACAGAGCTCTGCAGGGAAGTCTGACATATGTCCCCAGGAGCTGGATTTGTGATCTTCCCGTGGTCTGTGTGATGCAGGAACAGACCCTGCACTCTGCAGACAGTGTTCTGCCTGGAAACAGGATGAAAAGAACGGGAACAAGGTCGGAGCTCAGGAAGGTCTGTGCCAACACACTTCGGTGGGAAGTAAAAATAGGGCACATGAATTTGTTGTAAATAAAAAAAAATTAATGAAAGAAGTTAATGAACATTGATATCTTGAAATCTATAGATTCTAATAGAATATTTTTGCTTTCATATTTTAAAACTCACTAAATAAATTTGCATAAATTCAACAACAGGACTTTATGATCATGTTACATATAAAAGGGCATAATGGTATATATCAGGATATTTGGCAATGCTAGGGGGCTACTGAAGAACCCTTAAATAAACAAATATGTTCTAAAACAGAAGACAGTAATTATTGTTCAAATTAACTTCAGAGGTATATGAAATGAAGACTAATTGTTACCCTGACCATTGTCTTCAAAATGTCTAATAGCTCTTCCTAAATTCTATTGCTATGTTTAATTCTTGAGTTAAAAAAGATCTAATTTTGTACATATTATTCAGTTTTTAAAAAATCTGTATCTAGAAATATCACATTATAGAACTTTGTTCCTTATCAATAATGTGGGCTTTCACAAATTACTTAACTATTTGGGAGTTTAGTTTTCTTAATTGTACAATGGGGACATTTATTGTAATCAGGCATTAGTTAAGCCACTGTGGAAAAAAGAGATGAAAACAGTCCAATGGTTCAGAGAAGAAAGAGGTTTATTTCTTTTTCAGAACCATCTAGAGTGTGTCTGTTGACTGCTCCCTGAGCTCATCTAGGAACTAGGCTGTCAAAGTGGATCGGCTATCTCAAAAAGCTAAAGATTATTTCCAGTCATACTTTTTCTACTTGATGAGAAGGGTGAGGAGAGACAGAGACAAGAGTCTTCAAGCAATGAATCTGAAGTTGCACTTACCACTTCTGCTTATACCTCATTGGTCTAGACTTAGCTGCATTGCCTACTTGCAATGGTAGCTGGGAGATACAGACTATGACTAGGCAGTGGTGGATGTGGCTAAAATTGCATTGGGGAATTCAATTATTAAAAGGAAGAAGGGGAGAAGGGATACCGATGGACTATTAGCAGCATTTACTACTATAAAAATTGTTGTAAGGAATGAAGTTATACTTTCAGAGTATAGAAGTGTATTTGCAGAATTTACATAAGCAATCTGCATAGTACTTGACACATATTGAATACTCATTAAATGGTAGTTATTAATATTTTCTTAATTTTATGATGATGATGATGATCTAGTACCTCTATCCTCAATGTAATGCTTGAATTCTCTCCACAGAATCAAGGATAAGTGATAGTGTAATTATTCTTGAATCCTTATAATAAAAGGAATTTTTTTAAAAAAAGGAAATTTCACTGCTCTTAAGGAAGCCATCCCATTTTTAGAGTTTTTCCTTCTTTCTAGATATTATTTATCTTTTTATATTTACTTTTCTTTCATCCTAATTGTGACCTCTGAGGCACTAGCAGAACAAATAGCATTCCTCTGCCATACAATAGTCCTTCAGATATACATGGAAAGTTATTGTTTCTTTTATGAGTTTTCTTTTTCTCTAGTCATTTTTTTATTCCTTCAACAGTCTTTCATAATCTGTGACTCTGAGGCCACTCACCGTCCTGGACACATTCATTCACTCATTTAACAAATATTTTGAGTACCGACTACTCTATTTTATCAATGCTCACCTTAAAACTATGTCACCAAGGGCAGTATATGGTGTTCACGGTACTCTGAGCACAGCAAATCATCAATCCCCTCATTCAGGATATTATGTTCCCTAAGTGGAACTTAAGATCATATAACTCTTGGCAGCCGTAACACGCTGCTGACACACACCAAATGGTAACCTACTATACCCTCTGAGCCATTTTTTGTTTGTGCAGTTACCCTAGATGTACCCTACCCTACATGAACTTCTTTTTAAATCCAAATATAAAGCATTCACTTTATTCCTAGTTGTTAATTGTATCCAATCTCTCAAGAACTTTTATTCTTTCAACCAATGTATTAATTATCCCTCACTGATTCATCCATCAAAGCTCCTGATTAGCATGTAATTGATCTCTTCATCTAACATATTGATCAAAATGTGGATATGGATAGGGCTGCTGAGAAGCATTTAGTAACCCTCTGAGCAATCATTGAACCAATTACAAATACAAATCATTGAACCAATTACATAATCGCAACATCATTTAAGAAATATTATCCTCTGTAGCTCTCAGATGTCTCAAGACAAAGTTTTGAGAAAAGTTTTTGTTAAATACTTGGCTTCTTATTCATTGCTATGCTCAATGAAGCCTTGACTTGCCATTCAAAGTGCTACCTGGTCCAGCTCCATTCTGCCCAACCTGACCTTTAGGACCTCCCTGATTAGGAGGGCATGACTGGTGTTTTCTTGCTGCCAGACCTTTATATAATGAGATTCGACAACATTTATTGAGCCCTGTTATGTCCTAGGCATTATACTAAGCAGTTTCTCACATAAATAGAGCATGGGAAAAATGGAATATATTTAATGAAAAAAATCCATGTATTCTCAAATAGAACCTTATTATTTCACTCATGTATGAGACCATCATTGCACAATGTTCCTTATCTCAAAGTTATGGCAAAGTACAGAGCATATTCCATGTATAGATACTCAGCCTTTAGCATTAGGTATTCAAAGAATTATTTTCAATGCGATATGCATTTTTCTAAGATGATGTCTTCAGTGACTAAATTCTTGCTAAATACCACATTAGAGTCTAAATTTGCTTCAGTAAATCAAAAATGACTGTGCAGGAACTCTCAGAAATGATTATTCATTTGCTCTAGATAACAATCACATTTAAGAATTTAAATCATGAATCACCTGTACAGATGTTACCTTTTCCAAAGGACTTTCTACTCGAGGAATGCTGATCATTGGCATCTGTGCCAGATTATCCATGTGTATATGTTCATTTTCTGGTTGTCTTCCTTTGAAATTATTTACCACACACACAACCTAAAATTTCAGGAAAAAAATGCGGTTGAAGCAAAGCCACACTCCCTGTGACTATGACCCTTTTAAGTAGCTTAATAAATTGAATCATAGTACTAAAGTATTAAAATTACTTAAGTATTACATATGTAACTTTACATCCATATTTATCTTGTATAAATTTTAATAGTTATTCCAATGCAAATGTGCTCAAGAAAATTTATCGAATAATGTGTAGCTCAGTTAATAATGACGATTTCATTATTCCAAATTTTTCATTAAATTAGATTATAGTCAATGCTCAAATCAATCTATAAATAACATCATAGCCTTATAAAAATTCATAGCAAGCTAACCTTTCCCTAATGTGGCTAACCTACAACTTAATTTAAATGCTAATTATTTCCCATTGCTTCAAGATCATTACATTCATAATAAACCTCTACAATTGGCACTTTCTAATTTAGTAGCATCCCTTTAATTAACCTAGTTTATTGTCTATTATTGTATCCCATGTATACTTGGCATTTCAACAATAGCTTACTGGGGCTACCAGTGAAATAGAAGACCTTTTACATAAAGGAAATTGACCCTTGTTTCAATTGATTATATTCCCACAGGCGACAGTATTTGAACTAAGCCAGAGGTTTTCATACTTCGGGTTACATAATAATAAAGGCCCAGCACTGTTAAAAATGCACATTCCTAAAACCTTCCCTAAAGATTCTGGTTTTGTAGATGATGGATGGGGGCTAGGAGTTGCCACTTTTTGAAATACATTCTAGAAGCTTCTTGATGCAGGTGAATCATACTGTAAGGAATAGTAAATTAACACAGGAAAATTACTTGCTATATTTACTTATATTAAGCAGTGGATGAGATATTCTTTTTTTTTTAAGATTTTTGATTTATTTATTCATGAGAGACACAGATTGAGAGAGAGACAGAGACAGAGACACAGGCAGAGGGAGAAGCAGGCTTCATGCAGGGAGCCCGACGTGGGACTTGATCCTGGGTCTCCAGGATCAGGCTCTGGGCTGAAGGTGGCGCTAAACCGCTGAGCCACTGGGCTGCCCTGGATAAGATATTCTTGAGCCTTCTTTTGCTGGGTTTATAGTCTATTACCAAGCCAAAACCCAGAACTTACTTGCAGTTATAACCTAACATTCATTTTTAAAAAGGATAAATGCTTAATATATAATTACACATTTACATTGTATATTTTCACAAATGCTCCACTGGAAAGCCTTTTCTTTAGTAGGCCTCATTACTGAGTATTTTCAAAGGCCAATTAGATCTTGATTATTCTCCAGTTTTTAAATAAAATTAATAAATCTACAAAATAATAACACATACTATGAGACTTTATTTCAGAAAAAAACATCTCCCTAGTTGTGGAATACTTATTATACTTCCATTTCCATGAATAATTACAGATCAGAAGCACAGATCAAAGCCTCCTAATTTGATACATCAACTTTATCAGTGCCATTAAGATCTCTAAAGTAAGGGATGGTACAGGCTTGGAGATGGGAACTTGATAAACCTAGTATCAAATGATGACCCTACAAAAGACTATAGGGCAAAAGACTGCCCTATAGAAAAGGTCAGTAAATTTTGGCTATAAGGGAGGGGCACAGTAGTACATATTTTTGGCTCTGCTGGCATACAATCTCTGCAGCAGCTATTCAACTCTGCTTTTGATGTGAAAACAGTCATAGGCAATTCATAAATGAATGGGCATGTCAGTGTTCCACTGTAACTTAAAAAAAAAAAAAACAAAAAACACAGCGGGTTGAATTGGTTGCAGTTTGCTAACTGACCACTGCTTAGAGTACGAAGAATATAATCAAGAATTTAGCCAATAACAGCGTAACAAGCAAGCAGTTTCACACTCACTTCATGAAACATACACACATATTTCCCTTCTCATTAATATTATAAATTAATGAAAGATTAGGCAGATGAAAAATATTGCTACAAATTCTTGTGAAGTAATATTTATTGAAATGAAATAACTATGTACATAGATGTATGGAAGTCATGAGATGAAGAAAAGTTCATCTAGAGTTAATATGGGCTTTTGAAATTAGTATAATTGCTTTTTTATATTATTTAGGTTTCGTAAACTCTTTGAAAGCTTGTATCAGTTATCTCTTTGCCTTAATTGAGGGTTAGGACAATACCACTGAAGCAGCTGAGAATTCAAATGCCACTATTTAAACACCTAACAGATAGTAGATATTCATTAAATAGTATCTATTAACATAATGATTATTCTTCATTACTGTTATTATTTAAATTATAAGGGAGGAAATTGCCAAATCTTCCTTAGAACCATTTTCAAATATTTAGCAAGTTTTGCCTGCTAACATTCACAAGTATGGAACTGATGTCCTATTAGAAAAATGGTCATGGTTGGGGGGCTCCTGGGGGGCTCAGCCCATTAAGCATCCAAGTTCTTGATTTCAGCTCAGGTCACGAACTCAGGGTTGTGGGATGGAGCCCTGAGTCAGGCTCTGCACCCAACATGGGGTCTTGCTTGTCCCTTCTCCCTGTTCCTATGTCTCTGTCTCTCTCAGATAAATAAATAAAATCTTAAAAAAGTAAAAAGGAAAAATCCTCATTGGGGAAAGCAAGAGGCTTGGTGTTTGATCCTGAGTCTGTATGTTCTTAGTCCTCTGGGTCTGAGTTTTCTCAATTTGTAAGAGAAGAGGTTGCAATATCTTACCAAGTTAAGTGGTAAGTGACAACCATTCCTTTGGTTGTCAAAGGAATGAAAAATTTAACAAATGTTCAAAGTGAAACCCAAGATCTGCCTATCTCTGGACCCCCCCTATAAAACATGATTTTTTTCTGGATTCTCTCGGGAAAACAATCCCCACACTCCCTCTCCCCTGATTACACAAGGCTGAAAACTTGGATTTATCCTAAAGGATGAGTATAGGATTCTCCTATATTCAACCAGTCATTCAATTTGCTCAATTTTCCTTCCTAAAACATACTACTTTGGTTGATGTGAACCTCTTCCTTAGAGGGCTTCCTTATAAGCTCTATGAAAGCAGAAATGCTCTTCTTCCTCTTCCTCTTCCTCTTCCTCTTCCTCCTCTTCTTCTTCTTCTTCTTTCTTCTTCTTCTCCTTCTTCTCTTCCTTCTCCTTCTTCTTTTTCCTTTTGCTCATCATTGTATTCGCAGTACCACAGAGAATGAATAGACTAACTAATGAGCATGTGTCCAGCCAAGAATTCTCAAGTTTCCCAATGTTCCTATATAATTTAAAGTGACATTCCTCTGAAACACTCTGTTTTTACATTAGTAGCTTCCATGTGTATAATCTTATCCTGTCCTACAAAACTGACACTAATAAGTTACCACTACACATGTATTTTTGTGTTCTTTTGCCTTTGGTGATGATTTATTAATCAGATCTATTTGTGGTCATTTTACCTCTTCCCCTGCAGCAAGTAATACGTGTGTTTTGCATGGAGTTAAGTGCATGGGCTCTGGTAAAGAGGCTGGGCCTTAACACCAGCCTCTTTGATTTACTCACTCTGTGAGCCTGGGCAAGCAACTCAATATAACTAAACCTGCTTCTTTTACCTGCAAAATGAGGACAATAACTGTATCTCACTGTGCTGTTGTGAGGATTAATTGAGTTAATCTAGTAAAGATTACTCAAATAACTCTTACCATTATTATTACATTACACAGGATAATATGACAAGTTCTTGATGTGCTCAGTAAACTTTAACTACTCAACTTGACCCTGGGCATCTTCTTTGGAAGCACTTTAAAGCAGACATTTGTTCAGCATGTATTTGTTACATAATATTAACCAATCTACAACTATTGTTCACCTAGTATTTGTTTTGCATTTTCTTAAGCATGGGGATTCGGTTCTCTAAATAAAGAAAACGCACAGGGGATGGGAGTGATCAACAAGACAGGATATAATTCCTCAGGTAGAATGTGATAGGCCAGACTTTGAGTGCAGTGGAAACTCCGGAAAAATGGGAGAGCCAGGTAATCAGGGACACTTCCTGGGCAAGTTAGGACTTGTCTGAGAATAATCTCAAGTGCAAAAAGGATCTGAATAGTCATCAAAGGTGAGGACCATGATCTCCAGAGCCTTCTCTGCACCACACACTCAACTGTACCTACAGTGTATGAGATTTCATTTAACCCTCAAAAGAGCTTTGGGAATAACATAGTTCCTCCATTCATTCATTCATGCATCAAATATTTCCTGAGAACCCCCTATCTACCAGACCCTGTACTGTGTACTGGGAATACACAGTGAGGAAAACAAATAAGCGCCTTCTCCACGCGCAGCTTACATTCTAGTGGGTTTGACAGCAAAAACAAAACAAAAACAAAAACAAAACTATTATATGTGGCATATTAAAAATTGAAATATGCTATGGATAAAAGTGAACAGGAAAGGAGGAAAGGATTCCTTGGAGAGGGAAAGCCATTTTAAATACAATTCTATGTTAGAAAAAATGAGGAGCCAAGTGACCTGTTCAAGGTCACATATGTACCATATGGCAAAAGCAGGATTCAAACCTAGGTTCACATGGCTCCCAAACCCCTGTTTTTCTCTGTAAAAAAATATACGGAGGAACTGGCATTCTCACTGGGTCAAACATAAAGGCGACACAGAACCTGTCTGCAAGGCAAAGGAAGCTGAGTGGATACATAATACAGGATTTCACTGCAAGGAGGGAAAAAAAAAAACTGGGCTGTGAAGAGTGCAGCCAGATTACTGATGATCCCAGAAGCCCAGTGGGACATATCTGAGTTTAATGCAGCAGGAATGAGGTTTGTTTTGTTTTGTTTTGTCTTGTTATTAGCAACAGCTTATGTTCTAAAGAAGAGAGGCAGAACGGGAGGTATTTGGAGAGTCTGAGATGAGGAGCCAGTTAGGAACCTAGAGATAGAAGACAGCGAAGAAGCACTAATCTCGAAAATCGAGTATAGTCTCACAGTATACAATTTGGTCAGAATGGCCAAGACATAAAATGTGAAGGAGACATTTTATAGTGGAAATAAACTGGGACCAGATGACTCACTGGGTGAGTCGAGAAGAATGAGTCAAAGGCAGACACTAGACATTGGGCCCGGGTGACTGGGGGATGTGGATGCCTTTAACCAAGACATAGAGTCTTGGAGTAGGTTAGTGCTCATTTTATTCTGGAACCATTTCAGAGTTCTGCACACACTGCAAGATAACTGGAGACACCCCAGGATGATGTTGCGAGCCAGAGCTGTAGTCGCTGCTCAAAATAAATGTTCTATTTGCCCAAATGAGAAGCCCGGGAATCATCACGGATTGCTCCCTCTCATTCGCCTCCATCATCCCCAGTGCGCCATCAAGCTCCAAACCTTCTGTTTCACAAACCTCCCAGATAGCCTCCCTTCTTTCTGTGCCCATGAGGACTGACTGGTGCCATCTTATTTCCCTGCTTCTGCACAACTTGCCTCCCCTACCCTCACCTGGAGTTTTACTTTTCCAGCAAAACTAGTTTCAAAATGCAAACTGTATCGGACAGAAGGAGCTGAAAGGAAGCAAACTATCAATTATGGAACTTATTTCAGTCATTCATGTGGCCATTTGTTGAACATACACCATCCCGTTTCAACTTTTATGTCCTTATAAGCTTTAAGGAGGCTGTCATTAGCCTCATTTAAAGAGGAAAAACCCGAGGCTCGGAAAGGTAAATTGGCAATGGCACAAACTGAGTGAATAAAGAAGCTGAGATTCAACCAGCTTTAACTCACTTGAACTCTGACAGTGGCTCTCAGATCATCCACATTCAAAAGAAAAAAGCCCAGATTATTCTAACGTACAAGGCCATACAGAATAAATACCCCTGTGTTTTTTTTTATTTCCCACTCTTGTCACTCACGTTGGATGACTGGTACCACTTCCAGGATGTCACTTCCTCTCGTGTGAATGCTGTGCCCAGGCCTATAATATACTGAAGGCACCATAAAGGCCTATCTTATGAAGCATTTTTTAAAGATTTTATTTATGTATTCAGGAGAGACACAGAAAGAGGCAGAGACATAGGCAGAGGGAGAAGCAGGCTCCCTGCAGGGAGCCTGATGCAGGACTCGATCCCAGTACCCTGGGATCACAACCTGAGCCAAAGGCAGACGCTCAACCACTGAACCACCCAGGTGTCCCTCTTACGAAGCATTTTATGTTGCTTCTGAGCACTGTGCTCCTTGCCCCTCATTCCTTATGCCCCAGCTTTGACCTCCCTGCTTTGCAAACATTTCAAGTTTATGTATCCCAACCCCTTTCGGACTGTCCCTAATCCCAACAGAAATCTCTTTAGTTTAGGAACTAATATCATTACATTTTAGAGTTTGTAAAACTCTTTGTGTCTATTTTGTGATCTATTCAAGTAGATGGACTCTATCTTTTTTCATGTATTTATCCCAGCACTAAGCACAGTGCCTGGATCATAATAGGGCTTCAGTAAATGTTTATGTTTTAAAGGAAGGGAGTAAGGGAATATTTGAGGGAATAACCCCTATTAGTGTCTAACCCGTGAACCAGACTGTAACTCTCACAGGACAGACATCATGTTCATCTGAGCCTCCTTGCATCCCCAGCTCTGGGCACAGTGCCTGGCACCTGTAGGCACTCATGCTCAGAAACGACTGTGGATGAATGTCTGTTTTAGTTATTACAGTTAAAGCATTATTTTCATGTGAGCTTTGATTAAGGTCATTTACCAGGTGTGTGGGAATGTCTGAAGGGCTGCTGTGGAATGTTTTGAATATGTACAGTCAGAGAGGCTTGAGCCCAAGAGGGATCCAGAGTCCAACCCATTCGCCACATGGTTTTCAGATAAGGAAGTGACAAGGAAGATACTAGGGTTTTGGATTTGGTCTTTCAAGGTCTCAAGATGTTCACTGGAAGTGAAGGAAAGTTGGCAACAGCCATGGGAAGATAAGCAGGTAGACTGATGAGATGCCTTTGAAGATGCTCTAGACCCATGGAGATGAAAGACAGCCACATCTGACACTAGTGCTTTGACATTTTAACTTTTGGAAGTTCTTTTCTTAGTGTTTATGTAGGATATTTGTCTTGTTTTGTTTTATTTTAAATGTTTCAATCTGTTTCATTTGTGGTGAGTGAAAGGAAGGAAAAGGCTCTGGCCCAGGTCAGGGCCCCAGGCTTTCTGGGGTCATAAGATATCTCTGGGAGAGAGATTAGAATGGGCCTATGTTTCCCAGGCTCCTGGAGAATCAGAGGGGGGACATCAGGAAGAAAAGCAGCACAGAACTTGGGGCAGGGACAGGTCCTACTCACCACTCTAACACAGGACGGTCTACAGAAAATAGCCTATTTAAAATGCCTGGCACACAAATCATTAGCTGGAAAGGTTCATATGAGTTTTTGCTTACTGGTTATGAACTAGGGAAAGGAGCTGAAGAAGGGAAGTTAAGCGTGAGAAGCAATTTAAATGTAATCAAAATGGAAATAAAGTGTTTTTTCCCTTTATAATGTGTCAATGCAAAAAATATGTTTTGATTTATAGCCTACACATTTTCCATCTGGGTTAAATGTTATATACTCATAATGGATTGATTTTTTTTTAAAGCCAGACTAAAATAAATTTTCCAACAACCAAAACCTGTAGTAATACTCCAAGGAGGTTTTATAAAAAGAAGAGAGATGGCATGCTTACTTCACTAGAAATCACTACGGATGCTCTTCACGACTTGGCAAATTCTGATGTGAGATGGTATTATCTTGGAAATCATCCATGCATTTTTAGTTGCTGAAGGGAACCAACCAATCTCTCAAATGAGGTTTACCTATTAGCAGGCGCTGTAACATGGCAGTTCATGGAGAGTACTATGCTGAGGCCTTGGGGGTACTCTGGGATGCTCTAGATACTCTGGGATAGGAAGTGACCTGAGGAAATTCTTAAAATATCCAAGCAACCCATTCTTAAAAACTATCCAAGAAGGACTGAGTGTTTTTAGCTCTGTTCCATTTAATACGAAAATATTTGGTTCACCTTTAAGTGTAGAGTTTATACATTTTCTTCCTCAAATTTGACTTTAGGCAGAACAAATGAGGAAGGAGGAAGAAATGAATGACTTAAAATATACATCTTATCATTTGATACACCACATGCAGAGACACCTGCATGTGAGTCACCCTTTTTTTTTTCTTGTAGGTGATTATGGATATTAATTAAAAATACAGTGAAATCCAAGTAAGTTTGTACTTACCAGAAATACTGCTATAGATATTCCAACCAGAAAGCCTGCTATCACATCTGACCAATGATTTCGGTATTCTGCTACTCTGTTGAGTCCAGTAAGAAAGGCCAAGCACATTAAGCCCAAACATAAAACGGGTTTAGCAAGTCTTGTTCCTTTGGCTTTGATTGTGTTGGTAATGTACATCTGAAACATTAAATGAAAAACATAACATTTCATGAAGGTATTTTCTTAATATATATCCAATATATTTGCATATATGTACACATATATATTTATAGACATAGCTATGCATACAGAGTTCAAAGAATTAGTCCTAGTTATGAATTTTTTGAAGTAACTTTTTTGTAAGTTTAAGAATTTAAGAAATTAAGAATGGTAATTATTTAATTTTACTTACCTGATATTTACTAATGGCCAATTCTTCTGTAATATGAATTACCTAGAAGCACTGAATACTGACATTCCAAGTGATTTTGTTTTTAACTAGTGAAACTATTAACATTTAACTATTAATGTACCTATTGTTTTTTCTGAATTGACATCTTAGATCACTACTGTTAGAAAGCACAAACTGATGAAGGAATGTTTTTAATGCTTACACTTTTGTATGCCACATTGGAAGGACATATAATTGATAGGTTAGAATGTATGACTGTAGCTATAAAAAATAAGATATAGTTGATTTTCACTAAATAGAAAGTACTTTGAAAAAGGAATTTGAGGTTCACTGCAGTGACAGGGTTTGCTTTCATGTTGTTATCAGATACTGTGAAAATTACTTTGTTTTTATTAAATTTTATCTATCAGCCAGAATTAGGACAACAAAAAAAACTTAATTACATTCACGGTAAATGTCTCCTTAAAACAAACAAGACAATGAATAGATACCTACATTGCTGGTGTTTTCACATACGCTAATGAAGAACACATAGTGCCAACTGATTGCACTAAATGAAATGTCCTCATGTTTAGAGGCATCACACTCAAGAATAATTTATTTGGTCTTTCTTCCACTCTGATTTATTCTATCGCTCAGTTGCCGATGATTTAAACCTTGTGTTAATACATAAGCAAAGCTGTGGACTGCAAGGGGAGTGTGTCGGTTAATATTTCAAGTCATTAGTAAAGTAATTATAAAGGAAATGGCTTTGACAGTACAATACGTTTTTATGGTATTAATGTCAGTGGGTACCTAACACTGATGACATACTCAGAAAAAAACTTAGACATACATTTAATCACTTGCCTATTGTCCTGCATTGAATAATTAAAAAAATATATTTCCCTAAGAGATTAAACCAAAAATCAGCACTTAAGGTTTTCCTTCACAGCAGCCATTTCAGAATGTGATGAAATTCAGTAATTATCTTCCCCCCCCTTTTTTTCCTGGGCAAAGTTTGCAGCCCTGTTAGCTGCCAGAAGAGGCTGCATGAATATTTAAACAGCCCATGTGATACAAGGCTTCTATCTATCCGAGTTCTAGCCCTTTGCCATCTCTCTCAGGTCCCAATATTCTAGAGGAAAAAAAAAAAAAAGCTGAATTGTTTCATCTTCGGCTTGTGACCTTCGGAGCTGAGTCTGTGTATTCTAAGACCGTGCATGGAAGAGCTGAATAATTTCAGTGACGAAGGATAAGTATACATGAGGGGGAAACAAGAAGAGATGAGAGAGAGAAAATGATGTTTCTGCCATTCTGAGAGAATGTGTTAAAGAGCTCTGCCCACACGAATAACAAGGCTGGGATATCACACCACTTCAGGTTGCCAGTGATGCATCTAATGGAGTAATTCTTTATTTGACTAGTGCACACGAATAGGGAGTGAAATTTGGGCTGCTGGTGAGATTTCCTTTAACACAGCTATAAGGTCAATTAATTCTTTTTTTACTTTTGTATTTCTTCACATCTGTCCAGGACTCTAAACATATGCTGTCCTTATTAAGACAAAAATAAATGTGGAATGATAATTGAATAGTATTAATATTGCTAATATTCATTATAGCTATGATTTAATGAGTGATCGCTGTTCAAGGCAATGTTCTAAGTATCTTAGATTATCTTATTAAATTCTCAAAATACCCATAGAAGTCAGATCTCATCATACTTTCATTTTATTGATGAAAAAATTGAATCAAGATAAAGCTTATGAAGAAAATACAATTTGGCTATTGGGGGTGGCACTGCTGAGAATGGAGAGGTGCAAATGAGAAGTAAAGCACCTCTTACTCTTTCTTCTTTCTTTACTGATTTCTTGCATGGAGGAAATGGCCAATGAGAGTGATACAAAAGAGTTGAAATCAAAGAGAGGAAAAAGAAAGTTACTGTAGTATCCTAGAGTGAGGCTATATCTCAACTCTGCTGTTAGAGAGAAATAAGAAGTAATGTGAGTATGGCCTATGTGGAAAACCTACTACAGAATCTATCTGGTTTTGGAAAGCACTGTCTTCCCCCTCATCCTCAAAGACCATCTCAGATACCTGTCCAAGTTATGTAGGCTTAGAGTGATCTATTAGCTTTGGTGATGACTGTGAAGTTTCTTTTTGAATGTTTGCTCTACTTGCTCTAATGACTCAAGCATTGGTTGTAAGGAGTCTAAAGATATAGTCCGTCCACAAAGACAACTCATGAAAAATAGCCTGGAATTTGGCTTTTCCTCCACCAGATCCCCACTTACTAGCCAGACCCAGAAAAGAAGATTGAATTTTAAGGGTTTATGGAAAAAAGGGTGACATTTGTACAAATACATTTAACTTTAAGGCGGATCATAGTAGTGCTTTATAATACACGGATTTTTCTGGAGCATGATCAGTTGGCATGGATGTCACAAAAGAAAAATTAGAGAGTTTTCACTTATATTCGACAACTCTTTGGTACTTTATGAATATAAGTGCCTTTTAACCAGTCTAATTGTGTTATCCTTGCAGAAAGTCTATTATTCCTAATTTGCAGAAGAGGAAATTATGGCATAAGAATCTATTAAGCAAGTTGGATGCAGTACAGAAATTGATTATTTATGCTCTCTTGGTTTTTAATTCACTTATAAAACCATCTAGGTTAACCAGATGTCAAAATGTAGCTAAAATAAAACAAACAGAAGAGGGTATGGTTTGAGCAAAATGATACCCACTCAGTCCTCAAGGGTCACTGGATGCTCACTACCTTACAGACCCTCTCATTATTTAACCTCTTATTATTAGCAGTCTTTGTTCATCCATTCCATGAGTATTTATCAGCATAAAGATGCAGAATCCAAAGCTGATCATTTATTGTCCGCTAACAGTCTGGCATATATTCTTCTACACTTTCCTCCTCACTTATACAAATATATACAACAACTGACACATATATAAAGAGGTTTTGCTTACTTGTTTGCTTTTACTAAAATGTAATCACAATGCCCATGTTATCCAGAAATGTGAATTGACCCACTTGTGATAATAAACATCCATCTGTTGGGTAACTTGAGAAAGCACCATATGATTTTAAAGTACTATTATATACGTAAATAAAAATAAAAACAGACAAACATTTGTGTTTGTTAAGCACTTACTATACACCTGAAACTGTTTCTTCAAGAGGAGACATCTAAGGTGAGATCCAGAAAGATGAGTATGCGAGTTCCCAGGGAAGAGGAAGGGGTGGAGGAATGACCATTGAATTTTGTCAAATGCTTTTCCTGCAGCTACTGAGATGATTATATTGGTTTTTGCTTTTGCCACACAAATTTTCTGGCATATGTATTTGTTTACTTACTATTGTCTTTCTCCTCCTTGTCTATCTCATACTGCCTGGAGCAAGACCCAGTACAGGCCAGGCACCTATGATAGGAAGAATACAACACCCTAAAGATGCCCACATACTCATCCTATGAAACAGAGGAAGGGAGCCACAAGCCAAGGAATTCAGACAGACCCTAGAAGTTGAGAAAAATCAAAGAATGAATTCTCTCCTAGAGCCTCCAGAAGGAGTGCGATTGGGCTCGACCTTTGACTTTTTTTTTATTTTTAAGATTTTGTTTACTTATTTGACAGAGAGAGAGCACGCGTGCATGCGTGCATAAGCAGGCGGTGGTAGGGCAGGCAGAGGGAAAGCAGCGGGCTCCCCATGGAGCAGGGAGCCCATGCGGGGCTTGATCCCAGGACCCCGGGATCACGACCCAAGCTGAAGGCAGCTGCTTAACCGACTGAGCCACCCAGGTGCCCCTCAACCCTTGATTTTATCCCTGTGAAACTCATGCTGAATTTCAGAATAGCAGAACTGCAAGATAATAAATTTGGGTTATTTTAAGTCACTAAGTTTGTGATAATCTGTCATGGTGTCAAAAGAGAACTACTACAGTCAATCAATATCTGCTCAGTGTGTGAATAATGAAATGTACTGGGATTTGTAAAACTGGTCCGAAGGAAGAGATAACTGTAGCCTAGTGATTAGCTCATCCACTTTGCAGCCAATAAGATCTAGTTTAATTCCTAGCTCTGCCACTCATGTAGACAAGTTATAAGCATGGCCCATGGTGAATGCCTAGTACCTGCAGGGGTTAAGTCAGGGCCAGGCTGAAGAACACAGCAAGCCCAGGACCTACTGCGCTGCCTGATTGTGAAGGTGGTGCCTGGTGAGTTGGGATCATTAAGTTAATGGTGGCATCGTGGCACAGCATGTGGATAAATTGGTTCCTTCTCTTGTTTTTATGCTTCTTTCACCTTTTCCTTATGCTATTTTGCAGTTTTTTTCTTTCTTCCAAGTTATCTTTCTAAAGACAGCCACTTATTGTTTATTTGTAGGTGGTTACCACCTACTCTTATCCTTTGCCCCCTCCTTCCTATAGATGAACTGACCTAAATTCCACCCATCAGGATAGAAGCAACTCAGTGGCCAGATCCCTCAGCAACATGACACTCTAGTGCTTCTGACATACTCTAGTCCTCCTCCCAGAATGTAGAGCCCAATATTAAGCCCGCCAGTGCACACATCCTCTGACCAGCCCAGAGTACAATTATAACTTTTTTGGATTGCACCCAATCCAAAAGACCATGCATGAGTCTTCCTACTCATGAATCTGTCTTTTGTAATTAGGTTAGGATTGGATCATCTTTAAACTGATTTCCATGTTTTGACTATTTTGAATAATATAATCTAAAAAAGGAATCTGTTTTGGGGGTTTTATTTTTTAGTACCTACATAGCAC